AAGAAACCCAAAAAACCAAGAACCCTAACCCAGAGACGATGCTCTGATACCACTTGTAAGGTCCCAAAACAACATATACCAAAGGATCGAAGATCAGAAAGAACAATATAAGTGCAGAATCATAAAAATAACATTGACCACGCAATTTTTCACCCCGTAGGGTCCGGATGTTCAGTCACAACGACATAATCACCCGTTGAGTATCCACAAAGGATATAGCTCTAAATCCACTAAGTAAAGAACAAGAATCACTACAAATGTTTGAAGAAACCAAACACAGATCATCAACCCCTAATCTATAAATCATATAAAGACTTCACAAAGAATAGGATTGAAAAAATCACTAAGATCGATTACGATTACAAGAAACCATGAAACCCTAAACTTCACTCAGAGATACGAAGAAAAATAGAAGGCTCTCGAATGCCAATAATCCAAAAGCCAAGTCAACCAAGTAATATGAACAGTTAGCATCCAAGGGCAGAATATCAGCCACGTGTACGGCTGATAACTTTAGTTCATTGAGGCCACAACCCGTTTCACTTAACAGCCCAACAGAATAGTATAGTGAGGCAACCCATTTAGTTAACATATATAGTTATTTACGTGGCGACTAGACTGTGCTTCTCTTTCTCTCTCATGCAAAAATATGTATGCTACCATACAATGCATCTACTTGTCTACATTCATGATCCGTTTGCATAAATAATTGAGGAATTATGTGCTTGTGGAGGTTGGATCTTTATAAATAGTAGCTTAAGAAGAACATCTGTACCAAAACCTTTCAAGTGTTTAGGCCTTTAAAAACTTGCACCAAAACTAGGAATAATGGCTCCAGATCTATCAAAGATCCTCCCTAGGGTTCTTATTGTTTCTCGACGATCTGTTCGGAAAAATAAATTTGTTGATTTTGTGGGTATGCTCTCTCTCTCTCTCGGATGTGAACTTCTGTATGCACATGCAAATGGGAAATATTATGGTTAAAACTTTTCTTGATTATATACTGAAATTCTCAGTTATTTTTTATGAAATAAGCAACAATAAAGAAAAGAATTTCTTTTTCTAATTAATTCTCAGAAGTTTTTATTGTGTTAATAATGTTTCAATAACTATGAACAGGTGAGTATTATTAAGAAATATATGATTATTTTGTT